AAAAGAAGATGCTGCTGTGACTGAGATCCATGTAAATCTGCGTGTTGTGTGTTTGCATAGAGAGATAACTCTGTGGGGGAGAGAGGAAGAAACAAGCAACTAATGTATTTGCATCGACTGGACAGGATGCTTTATCCTTGTCTTATCTTTCAATTTTTAAAGTGTGCATTCATTTAATTGTAATGTAAATCTACTTTAACTTCTCAGGCTTTGCAAAGCCTAAGCATTTTGAGTTTATCACACCAACCTGAAGAGTTTTGAATTTTCTTATTTTTCTTTTTCATTTTCCATTTTTCTTTTTCCATTTTTCTTTTTGTTTTTCCTCTTTTTCATTTTTCCTTTTCTTTTTTTTTTTTTTTTTAAACCTGACGTACTGTGTCTTGATGAAATGGAGTTTGTTTTATCCATAGCAGCATGTATGGTGCTATGTTTTAGACTGGTGGCCAAAACAGTGTTGACAACACACTGAAGTTTTAGCTGATGCTGACCAACACTTGCACAGTGTTGTCAAGGTTTTCTGTTTGTCATTATGCCCCCCTTCAGGCAAGAGGTTGGGAAAGGACACAGCTGGAATAGCTGACCCAAACTGACCAAGGAGATATTCTATAGTATAAAACATCACTCTCAGCAGTAAAACTAAGAGGGATCCTTTCCAAGGTAGCCATTGCTTTGACACTGCCTGGCCATAGGCCTGCTGGTGAGAGGTGGAGAGTCATTGGCCTTGCACCACCTGTTTCGATTGTGGGCAGTTTTTCCCTTCACTTGCTAAAATAACTTTATCATGACCCATGAGCTTTTCTTGCTTTTGCCCCTCCAATTCTCTTCCCCACACCACTGTCAGGAAAGTGAACAAGCAGCCAGTGAGTGCTTAGTTGCTGGTCGGGGTCAAACCATCACACTTGGTGTTTACCATTCAACTGCCTGACTCAAAGTTGTTTCCAATTCTCACAAGGATTTTCAGTTTCAGGACTCATGGAATTATCTTTATGTATATCACAAAAATCTGACAGGAAAATATTTAACTGTGGGTGGTGGTGTTTGTTTTTTTTTTTATAGTGTGGTATAGGTAATTTACAGTGGCTTACCTCAGGTCTAAATCACTGTAACATTGATTCCAATCTGGTGAACTAATTCTGCCCAGGACCATTTTTTTTAATTACTATTGGAACATGAACATCAATTTTACGTGAATGTTTTCCAGAAAATATTTAAAATAAACAAATAATTAAATCAGTGCATGCAAATCTGGTCCCTCTAAATCCTTTAACAATACCTACTATTTACTTTCTTAGAATGCATGTCTGAAGAAATTATGTTTAAAGTATGAATGAGTAAATATTGCTAAGCATTTTGTAGAGCTATGTTATTATTAGCATTCAGATCTGATGCTTAAAAATACATTCCTATTAGCATTCAGACCCGATCAACTTGTTAATCAAGACTATAGGAAGCAAAAAAAAAAGGCCCAACAAGATAATACTCATCATATGACATTTAAGTGACTTGTTTTCTGGTTTAGCATATCCAAGATGACTGAGAAGTAAAATCAACACAATGGGCCTATAGGTTCCATTGCTGAAAGTATGCATTAATTTGAAAACCTGAATTAAGATTTTAATATGGAACAATAGATAAAACACAGTCAGTTTTACTGAGATGAAATTTGTCTCATCTTCAGTATGAATGACTTAAGTTTGGGAAGGGTGTATACTACAGTTATTCACATGTCTTGCTGAAAGAAATCAAGTTCCATCAAGCAAGGAGTTGAGATATAAACTACTCATAAAAAAGTTCTCAAATTTTAATTGAGATTCTTAGAATTTCTTTCAGTGCAATTTCTGTGTATTTGCATCTATACTGTTCCTGCTAGTTTAGACTGTTAAAGTTTATTCAGCCACACCTGTGTGAACTGTTTCTTTAATGAAATATAGAGCTTTGAAAAAGTCAGAAGGGAGTTATTAAAGTAGAACTAAAAGATAGATTTCACATTTGCAAGTCAGAGGATTCATCTGCCAGACTTTTTCTCTCTCTACAGACTTTTGGCTTTTAATCCTTCAGAAAGATTATTTGATCAGAATCATATCAAAAAGTGTAAGCATTTATTCTAACAACACACTTGGAAAATGTATTAAAGCTCTTATCAAGCTGGCTAACTTATGGGAAAAATCCTTCTTCAATCCAATAAGGAATGAGTTTCATCACAGTTTAGTTCTATAATGAAGGCTGAAGAGAGCATAGAAAAATTACCAGGAGTCTTATGAGAAAATAAGGTAGCTGGTTTGAAAAAATTTTAGGAAAAATAAATTTTAAATTTCCAATAACACAGAAAAAGTTTTAAGCTTTAAAACTAGTAGGTTAATGATACTCAGCTACTTATAAAAGCAATGAATTTTAAAATATAAGCAGCAAGAACAAAAAAACTTAAAAAGATCAAAACTGATCAGTGCTGTGGTGAAAACACATGTAACATTAGAGGAGACAACAATATATATAGTAAGCAATAAAATTAGAATAGGTTAGAAAGCAATCTAGGTTTAGTTTTTCTTTGTTTGAGTGGTTTACTATGAAGACAAGATGTGAAAATATGTAGGGAAGATAGTCTAGACATGTCATTGGATAACAAGTTGCTGTGCCACACTGCCATACTAAAACAGATCAATGATCTAGCTACTCCAAAATACCATCTCAAACACTGATATGGACTGCAAACTGCAGAGATAGGATGCAATACAGCAAGGAACAATTAAGAAAAACACCATTGCTGTTCATATCATCAATTTGGTGATTTCTCCCATGACATGTAAATCTTTATATACTCTTAAATTTTTAAATGTACATAAATGTAACTGGGAAGTGTTTGAAAAGGGACAGTGGATATGTATACCATTCACTAATACAGGCTAAAATGCTAGAATCTTGAATACAGTAATTTATAGCTGAAGGGACATTTTTAAGTCACTCATAATATAAAGGAGTAAGACTCATAAGTGATAGACCTATAGCCCGAAATTTAAACATGGCCTTAAATTTTAAGAAGTACTTTTACATTTTTGTAGTTGTGACAGGTTAAAATCACATAAAGACCATTTTTTCTTCTCTTTGAGGTGCTAAGTGTTTTTGAATATAAAACTTTCAAAAATAGTTTTAGCAAAAATAGTATTGTCTTTGGAAAAATTTGAAAAGAAATCATTTAGTCTGTCAACTGAAAAGACAAAAACAACGTAAGAAAACGTAAAGATACAGGATGACAAAACACATTTTATGATTTACTTGAAGGCAGATAAACATGCAAAAAATAAGTCACATGTATTGGAAAGTAAACCCTGTCATTAACATGTACTGAAGCTAGAAGCATTACACCCTAGTAAAATGCTTGTCCTATACCTCTGTATTCCTCAACAGGTTTTTGTTCAGTCTGAAGTGGCATCAGAATACAGTCTTTTTCAATTTAATATTTGATCTGGAGATAAAATAAGATGGTATCAAATTTTATATGGAAAACCCCTCAGAACTCAGAAAGTTTAAATTTCCAGTGGTGTCCTTTGAGTCAGATCTAGTAGCAGCTTTCAGAGATCTCTAATGCCATTTGAGATTCCCTAGATTATCCCAAGTAGCCTCCTACTGACAGACTAGAAGGGAATATGGATCGTGCATAGGTTTTATGTCGTATTTGTCAACTTACAGATATCTTGGATACCCCAGGGCTTCTCAGAGGTCACTAAGTGTTTTTGCAACTGGGGAACTAAGATGGTCTGTATTGCTTTTCTCTCTCTAGTCAGTTTTGAAAGAGGAAGCAAAAAACATTTGAGCAATAGCAATCTAGAAGGCTTTTACCACCACTCTTTTTCCTTTCAGTTCAGACTTTACTTAATATACCTATGTTAAAAATCTTGTTTAAGGGGAAAGAGGAAAACATGACATCTGTATAAAAAAAATTCTTTATTGTTAGTCTAGTGGTTATTTTAACAGTCTAATACAGGAAATATTACTAGTTCAGGTCAAATTATTACAGAAGAGGAAATAATGCTTCTCTACAGAAAAAAAGTCTGTGATAGCAATGATACAGTTAAAACAGTTATAGACACAGCTTTCATGCTTTTTTCTGGTGTTATCCCTTCCCCTGCTCCTCTGAGTCTTAGGATCGATTTCATTCTAGTGCTTGTGTAGGGTGAATTTTCAGCAGCAGGAATCTTTCACCAGGAAAAATATTGTTAATGTTAATGTTGAGGTTTTCTTCTTCCTCTCTCCAGGATTAACTCAGAATAATTTTAATATGTTTGCCAAAATGATTTTATAACTTTCTCTTTCTTTATTGGTCTACAACTGCATCTAATATCTGAATATAATATCTGTGATAGCTTTTAGGTATGTTAGATACTCATTCTTTCTTCTTTGTTACCCCTAAAATCAATTTTGTCCCACCCCAGACATGCAGTTCTGTAACTGCACATGGTGAGCTATTTACAGTATGAGGTCTGCATTGCCTTTCTGTATTCCAGCCTTTATCATCCCACTCTTGTGTTTTTCTGTGCTGCATCCCCACTTCTCAAAGATTCTGCTATCAGACCAGGTCTGCATTTTTTACATCGTTATCTTAGATCCATAAACATCTCATTCTGCATAGAAAAAAACTATTTGTCACTACTATATCTATAAAACTTTGATTGTACCATATAATGATAAACAAAAAAATTAGCCACAGCCACCTGATCAGAAGAATAATTGTTCTTACAGCAAAACCAAATAAAACAAAGTTGCAGGCAGGTCAAGAAAAGTTCAGAAAAAGGAATCCTTACAAACTGCAGTCCTAAGACCTTGCAAGCTTATGGCAAAGCCTGTGGCCTTTACCAGTTCTGGATATATTGTATCATAGGTTACAGGATTACAGTACTTGCAGAGAAGGAAGTATTATCTCATATGTTGCATTAATATTAGATGCATGAAATTTAACCTAGTACAAATAAAATTCAAATTTTAATTTCTTTCCTTTTAAAATATAGGAATGAATTTGTCATTTATGAATGGACCTGAAACCATCCTTACAAGAGAAACATATATCCAGACTATGGAACTTAAAGCACCTGACCTGTTTTCTGAATCTGGAAAGTGGAAAAACAAGTGAGACTGCTGCTATCCCAGGCTGAGTCTACCACCAGAAGAACAAGGGAGACCTTGAAATGGCTACTGCAGATGCCTTCTAGCTTTCTTTGTTTGGTTGGTTTGGTTTATTGATTGGTTGGCTTCCTCAGATGTATTTATCTGGCAGGTTGTGAATCCAGTCTGTATAGCTCATTTGAATCTAAGCATGGTAATATTTTTTAAGTTTATATAGATTAAGTTAAGTAATGATGCCATAGTATGAGGTTAGAATATGGCTCAAAGTAATGGTTTTCTTATTTCTGATGTATATAAAAAGCTTTCACATAAAAAATCTATATTGTAGTTTGGGTTTTTTTCTCCTAATGTATGTCATTTAATGGGAAATTTTGTGGTGTTTTTTCAGTGTATTTTTTGATGCCTTAAGCAACAAACAGAAAACAGTACTGTGTTAAGACTACTGAATCTGGTATGGTGGATGTTGGACAACTCAGGAGCAATTTCTTTATTGAATTTCCCCTGAATTGTCTCAGGGTAAATGGCTTAGTGGATGTGGGATAAATCTATCGAAGCTCACTGCTATGAAAGGACAGCAGGCATGGGTTTGTGTTATTCTTGTCTACCTTTTTAATCCTCTTGTCACAAGTAAGCAACAAAAGAAGTGCGTATTGAGCATTCCATTAACAGAAGGAATTCTGGCAAAACCTTGCAAATGTATCAGAAGACAGATGATGTTGTATCTCCAAATTTTTCCAGTTCTACCTATAATACAAAGCCTGAAGTAGACTTCAGAAAAGGCTTACCATCATTACATTTTAGCTCTGTTTAAGTTAATATATAAAGGCAGGCCAGGGATTAATCCCTGGGCCTGAAATCATCTGGAAAATAGATGTTATAAACTCGTATTGACCGAATAGATTTTTCTTGGAGAGATTTAGCTGGAGCAAACCAAGCCTGAGATATGGATCAAAATAACAATTGAGAAGAGTGAACAACAGCACTTCATGTACTGCATGATTGTATGCCATGGATTGTTTTTTGTCCCTAAGCCTGAGTAGCATGGCATGAGTTATAGACACCAACCTAACTCTCCCACCCTCCCAAACAGGCTTGCCATAATGCACTGCCTATTGCAAAGAGTCCTTAGCACATGTGAATGACCAAATCATGGTCAACCGCTGTTGCAGAGTTGAGGCTGGCATAAACTTAATGATGGGATGTGCTTTCCTAGCACTACAACACTGTGTGCTTAACAGTTGTGTGCATATACCCATGATATATGCGTTTTAAGTTTCCTGGCATCAGTATAGCCTTGCAGATTTTATGCTCAAGATTTCTCCTTCCCCCTCTTTCATTTAGTAATATAGATATTCAGAGAGCCATGTAATATTTACCTGATTGCTTTTTGTTGAATTTTTTGTAGTTTGGCCTAAAACATTCACGGTATCCTTACAAAAAATACAAAATGACATACTGCTGCATATGACAGTCAAATTTTTTTTACTGACCTAGCAGACTGTAAGATTGAGCATCTGGATGCATATTAAATCAGAAAATATGGTGAGAATCTGCCTTCTAGAAACGATCACAGTTCAACCCTATGCCCTAAACAGAGCCCAAGTTTACAGATAAACAATACAGAAAGTAATCGTGCTTTAGACTCACACATGACTCACAGAATGACAAGCTTTCTGTATTTAATCTTTGCTTAACATAGGAAAGTTTTCAACAGTGTGATTATAACTGCAACATCAAGCAACCATGAGCAGAATATTCATTTGCTTGAAATGGATGACTGATGATGCCGTTGTGGCCTCTCCCCTTTCATAGATGTTTGTCTGCATCGTAAAGGCACCATGTGGCTTTTCAGACATCTGGTAACAGCTGATCATATTCAGGACAAGGACAGCAGGACTTCTGTTTGTCCAGATTGCAACACAGCACCAATACAATGAGGAATCTTGAATTTTACTTGACTCTATTGAGTATTATAAGCTTCCTCCTTTCAGAGGCATTCAAGTATTAAATGAAAACCAGAGCCCATTTATGAATAAATTGTTTCAATTCTGTATATGCTGTAAAATTAAAGAGCTATTACACCAGTAACTGATTACCAAGAATGACTGCAGCCAACTGTAAGGGAACACGCAAAACTGTATTCACCATTTGTAAAGTAATTTAAAAAATAATAATAAAATAAAACAAGTGTCAAAACAAGTCTAAGGGTGAATAGAAGGACAAATTTCCATGGATTTTGTTGATAGATTTTGTTTACTGCTCTGGGGCACATTCTTACAAAATGTGCTATACAGAAAAAAAGAATTAAACCAAGCTAGAATGGCTCAGGGGCCTCCCAGGGCTTTTAAAGCAATGTTTTAAAATTATGTCTGGAAAGGGTAGCTTGGGATTCAGTATACACCTGTAGGCTGTGGCAAATTTAGGCCTAATAGCTCTAAAACAATGTAAGCAAGCTAGTGCAGATAATGAATCTGCCTTCTGAACATGTGTTAGCAACAGATTTTCTAATGCATAGATAACAGAAATATATATGTAAGGTTAATAAAAAGAATAAAATTAAGAGACTGAATATAACTATTACCAACATATCAGACGACATTAAGTACCATCTGTCTGTTCAAGAGCAAAATATTTTCTGGTTGTTGTATTTCTTATGCATGGAGAGTTAGGTCTAAAACTTTCATAGCATTTAAAGAAATAAGATGCTGCTCCTCCACTCCTCCCAAGTACTTTTCTCACAAACCTAAAACAAATTGCAGTGTTTTAATAAACTGGAACTCTCTAACCACTGTAAGAACCTCTGGTTTAGTGCCCAGTCTTAAATAAATTTAAAATTCTATTATTGACTTCTACACATTCGACTACAAAATGGAGATGTAAGTATTGCATGTGATATATATGTATAAAAAAATAGAAAAATAGTTCTGTTAGTTACAAAATCACAAGGCTGAAGTTCAAATGAGGTATGTTTTCACTAAGTACTAAACTGTATTTGTGTGAAAACAAGTCATCCTCTGAATTCTAAGTAACTTTGGGAGTTAATCCTCTCAGATTCAAGTTTAAACAGTTTTAACCTTTTTCTGTTAGTACAGAGAATTCTGCTGAAACAGTTTGGGTCTGGGTTTTGTTGTGTTATTTTGTTGTTGTTTTTTTTTTTAATTTACCCATAGGTATAGAAAATTACACTTATTGAGTGTGCAGGTGATTCAGGGACTAGTCCAATCCTCAGTTCAGCCAGTGAAAGTTTTGCCATAGCTTTTAGTAATGCAGGATCAGGGATATTGCATTTAGTGTGCAATGGGAATTAAAGTGTGGTCTTAGCATTTCCATACAGGTTCCAGCTGTGAAAGTCATTGTGCTGGATCACAGTATCCTTTAGGTCCCCTTAAATTCTTTGAATAAAATGTACATTCATCTTTTGAGGACCCCTGGTGGTCTAGTGGTTAGGATGTGGCGCTCTCACCGCCGTGGCCTGGGTTCGATTCCCGGTCAGGGAACCCCTCCGGGCAGATGGAGCTCGTCAGCCCTGTAAGGCCATCCATCTAAGAGAAGGTCACTCTAAACAAACCTACGGCCTGCCACCATCCAAGTTCGCTCGGCCCCGGCAGATGAACCTTAGGATTAAAGGGTGGGCTCAGTTCAGCACACACTGTGTCTCACCTAAAGAATCCACTGTGCAGGCTCGAAGGGTAATGACCTTTCCCAAATCTTTGTTCACAAAGACTGGCCATGAATGAATGAACATTCATCTTTGCTGACCAGCAATTCTACATAAGACACTAAGAGTAGAATTGGATCTCAGTTAAAAAAAGGCACTGCTGAAATAAACTTTATTTCTGGTGGTTTTAACTAAAAGAAAGAAAACCTTTGCTGCCTGCTCTCAAAATTACTTTTAGCCATATGATGCTGTATTCAACTGTCAGACTGTTCATGGAAAAACTGAAACTTACTGAAATACCTAAACTGCATATATCACTAGGGTAAAATAACCACCTGTTGTACGATGGCATTCTATTTTAACTACAATGAGCTAAGGATATCAGTAGGGTAAAAGCTGTAAGGAGATGTACCATTTTCCATTAATCACGTGGAATTTCCAAAAAGATTAGACAGCTTTTTGGGCATGCAAACCCTACCTGCAAACCTTGCCTTGTCCTTGTTATAAAGAATAATTCATCCTAAAGGGTTTCAAAAATACATATAGAGATACAAAGACATTATCTCAGTGTCTAAGAGGTTACTAAATTTTTTTATCCTTTTGAGACCCCCAGTATCCTTGTTCTTTTTCTCATGCTGCATAGACATTAATATCAATAATGTATTCTGTCCAAGTACTTGTCTGCTTGATACTAATTTTTTTTTCTTAAAGGTAATTGAGCTAAATAAGAAAAGAATAAAAATGATTAGTCCACTATCAAAGAAATATCTTAGGAATATTTTAGGAAATATTTTTGGAATGTTACACATTAGTAATGTCCAGAGGTTATTAGCTTCCTTTTTGAAAATAATTCCTACTACCTCAAATAAATCTAAATCATAAGAATAAATATGGAAAAGTAAACAGTAATATTTCTCAGGCTTTTAATGTCTCCTCTTGCCCAGTCTCAACAGTATCAATCTAACTGTAAAGTTTTAACATGAGATGAAAACCAGAAACTCTTTTGCAGATATGAAGAAATATTTTCCAGAAATAAAATTACAACTCATTTCATTTTCTCCACGGTAGTAAAGTATTCTTTTTGCTATACTGTATTTTGAGTATGAAATACAGAAATTTATAGGAGATGATCCTTGACCTTCAATTTTTTTGTTTTTATTTTATTTAATTTTGAGTAGACATGAGAAGCAAGAGATTAGAAGGGAATCAAGTAATACAATGAAGTCTCTCATCTGAGTTCATAAGGCCACAACAACTGTGACAAGGTACTACATATTGCATTGTAATGTACCTATATTTTCTCCAAGTTCAGGAATGGACCTTTAAATAGTTACTATCTCACTGTCCAATAAAAAACTGTGTGTATAATGTGCATATAAAACCCATATATATATATATGGGCAAACAAGGTTAAATGTGATTTTATTTAAGCTCATTTACCCTGAATTTGGGATTAGGATAGAATAAGAAATGTTTTGAAATGCACTATATATTTTGCATGTGTCTCATAAATTAATGGAGAGCTATTTAAGAGTGGTTTATACACCTTAAATATTTTAG